AAAACCCCAACCCCCCCCCCCCCGCACCCCACCCCAACAAATAAGAGTTCGACTCAATGCTTTATTTCTATTCTAGTTGATCCTGATTCGACATTAAAAGTATATATATTGATTTTTCCCAAATAACCACCCGCCCACAAAAAAATAAAGGTCCTTGTCTCTTTTAACCCAAGTTCACAAAGCGTGAATCTAGAATTCAAAATTAGAGAGTACGAAATCTCATTATATGTTTTTGCACGTGATATATAATGAATTTAGTTGAACCTAGAGAATTCATCCTAAGTTGGTTGTTGGTGGGAGTTTGCACTTTGCATGTGTAGGTATAGACTTTTTAAAACAAGTTATTAGTTTCTTGTGAGCAAAGGCAACTCCATCATCTCAATATGTTGACGTTATGAGTTTCACTAATATAATTTGCTTTCTTTGGAACTTTGCTTGGTTTGGGAATGACCTAATCAAATTGAAAGCCATTATGATTGCACAAAACATGCTGCTCTTCATGGCCCTATCTCAACTTGTTCTTTAAGTTGTTTGTTTTTATCTGATAAAGACATCAATGGAACAAAGAAAGAGTGATTGGAAGATATAATATACATATATGTACTTGTATATGAAAACAAACTTCCCTTCTTAATACCCTTTCTTTTTAACTACTTTTTTTAATGTATTGTATAGGTAGGATATGATGAACTTAGATGAATTTGGCAGAGAGAAACTAACACAAGAAATCATTGATGGGACCAAGTGTAGCTTTTGAGTAAAGCTAGCTAATTATGCTTATAATATATGCATCCCACATATATCAATTCCAAGGTCAAAGTATGAAGCCTTTTGAGTCAAACACCACTAGCTAGCTTGTTAGATCCAAAGTACCAAATATAACTAGTTTATAGTAAACATATCAAAATGGGCACATTCATCAAAGGTATAATTGTGCCCACCCTGGTGGAGATACCACTTGTGGTAAAATTTTGGCCTCCTTTTGTTCATTATAACTTCTCTTCTTTTTTTTCTTTATGGGCGATTTCTTTTGACCTACTTGGGTTCATTGCATTTCCAAGGAAGTTGAAAGTAAAATTATACGCACGCTTAGCTTAATTCATGGGATAATGACACTAATTTGCTTTACTGCAAGTTATTATTGATTTCTTGAAACTCTCCAGAAATATATTTTAAGCAAGGATTTAAATTTATGGTATACTAGGAATGTAGTAATTTTTTCATACCAATGCTCAAATCGAATTTGGGGCATTCCAAAAACTTGGAATTGGTGGGATGCTCGCATTCATTTGAGTACAATTTAATCTATTACAACAAGTTACTTACTATTTATTAGAGTAGTTGTTAGCCGTCACTATTAGTATCAAATAAAGTTACAACCAAACATCTTTTAAAGCTTATTTAAAACAGAAATATATTCAAAACTGTTTCAATAAGACGTTTAAACAACCATTCATTGAGGTTTATATCAACTTTATTTATTAGCTTAGACTGGAAAGGAAATTGCACGGTAGTGTAATTTATCTGTGTTTTTCCTTATCCCAAGGATCTATCGACGGAAATAATCGTTAAGTCTACGTACACACTACTCTCTCCAAATCCCACTTGAGGATTTAGACAGGATATGTTGTAAATACGCAGTCTAATTCAAGAATCGAAACAAAATGGGTTTAATTCAAGTTGTTTTTGGTACTATTTGTTTAGTTATTCAACACGGGAAGTAAGGTTTTCAGGAACTGTGATGAAGGTAATGAAAAATATGCACATAAAAATAATGCTTCACTTCATAAATTAATTCGTGCCAGAATCTGCAGTAACTCATAAGCATGCCTTCATCTAGTTAGTGCTTATTGTTCATTCGTCTAGTCAAGTTGCTATACTAATTATGAATTGCAAGGATTGACATGACTTAAACTAAACAATTGCTACAAACCTCATTCTAAGGTTTTACATGATAATATGCAAGGAAGTTGACTAACTCACAGAAAGAGTTAGGGAAACATCCCATCAGAGTCAAGTCACAACCGAGGCCATAACCAACAACAAAGTGAATTCAAATTAGGTCCCCGAATCCAGAGGCGTATCTAGGAATTCATCAAGATGGGAGCACAAATACGAAAATATGCATCTTAAATATAAATTTGATAAGTTTGACTTTTAGGTTCTTAATATGAACCATTAAATTTTAAAAATTATAAGTCCAAAATATATAATACTATTAGTTTTAAATTTTAATATACACATTTGATTTAATTATTTAAAAATCTTATAGTGCAAAGTTTTTTAGGAACTTCCGATGTAAGGCACTTGAAAATTTTGAAAGATTAAAGGAAAAAACAAAAGAAAAATTAGTTGAAACGTCAAAAGTATAATCGATAACCACTTGGGGAGGTGTTGCTCAAAAGGACAAGATAGATATAAGACTTAAATTTTTATCCTTACTTAGAGAGGTGCACTCAATCATTATTGTATTATTATATGATACTTTAAACGTGGTTCACACATCTATATTTAAATATTTTTTAAAAATATAACACTATTATATATAATCGAGAGAGGGGAGCATGGGTTCACGTGAACCCACGGCACCCCTCTAAATACGCCCCTGCCTGAATTGAATCCCAAACATACCGAAAAATAGTTATGTTGTTTATCCTTGCTAAATTCATATCCACCCAGATGCCTGTGTAAATCTCTTAAAACCCATCCCCTCCTTCCTAACTCCATAACAGTTACTGGCCATAACTTCATTTATCTTTTCAAGTGGTGAACATGAAAAATAATCAAAAGAACAATCTATAAGGACTACGATTAAAAGATTCACTCCCATGGTTCCCTTTGACTTCTGTAAGCCTACCAATTTATTTAATAAAGAGTACCATGATATTACTGCAGTAAAGTTGAGGCATTATTGATCGATTAATAAACCCATTGTACACAAAAAGGCACAGATAGAAAGGACAGAAAAAAACATAAGGAGCCAAAATGGTAGATTTAGACAGCCAAGCACCATATAAATTTCTCTGAACCACTTCAGCTTCGAGGCCAAATTAACAAGCTTCAAGCCGTTTAGCTTAAGCAAGTGGATTGATCAATGTGGAGAAGAATTTACTCTTGACTAGATGGACAAAGTTGCTGACATATTGTCACTGCAGGATAAGCCTGTATCGAGCCTGGTATTAAAGTGGATAATGGAAGAGAAGCTGGCTCATTATCCCCGAGTCTTGAAGGTTGCATTTAGTCATAAGGGATGGGCCCAGACAAATTTCTAGGTGATACAAAAAAAGACTACCAAAAAAAGTTTTTCCTGATAAGTAATAAAGAATTTTGTTACAGAGAAAATAACACTGAGCTAGAGCTACAAAACAGAGTTACAGATTGTGCAATTCCTCGATAGTATCTAACATGCCATTTACATCATGTACAAAATTTAGGTTGCACCAAAGAGCTAGGAAAGAAAAAGCTCTAAACTTATGGCTAAGAATGTGTCTCTTGTTGCTTCAAAATTCTACTATTTCTTTCAGCCATTCTATGCACCAAACAACAACATACCCAATGAAATCCCACATGGGAAGGATAGAGCGACCTTACCCCTACCTCGTGGATGTAGAGAGGCAAACTATGCACTAAACGTTATGCTAAATTATGGAAGTAGCAATTCCTCGTTAAAAAGATCAAACGATGCATATTGCTATACAAGTAGTTTGTTCTTCTTCTTTTTTCTTAATTCTAAAACACATCAAAATACATCCTTAACTCCAAACGCATTCTTCCACGGTCACCTCAGAAAAGAATCAAGGGGAGTATAAGAAAACAAAAAAGGAATGTAAAACAAAGCAAGGGCGCCTGGGAGATTATAATTACGTTGATTAGTGAGGCCAACATTTGCACCATCTACCACTACAAAATTTTTCTTTAGACACTCCTGGACGAGGTGCACCTTGAAAGTTAATCCAACATTCTTTCAAGTACTGGGAATTGAAAGAAGCACTCCACCAATTCTGAATAGGTATATTTAGGAGTAACAGATATTTCAGAATCCATTATAAGGGGAAAAAGACGATAAATGAATAATCCAACATTCTTTCCAGTTCATAGATAACACGAAAACAACTAGGTATGCAGAGTATTACCATATCATGATCCAATTTTATTGCCAGCAACCAGCATTTTCATTCATCCTGCAGAGACACTCATCTATAGAGAGATTCACCCTACTTATTATTTACATGTTCACCCTAATGATTCTTTTTTCTTCTTGTTTGGGTTTGTTTTGGGAGGTTGAGTATTGGCAGAAGATAAATATGAATGCTTAGCTTTACAAAGATAATTATATTTTTCTTTAAATCAACTTGAAGACATACATGGTGTGGCATCCCTGGCAACAATATCTAACAATGCATGCAAACCCTTCGGCTTCCCTTTTCGACAAATTCTTACTTGTGCAAATAGCTCTAACCCCTCAGGCACAGCCCCAGATTCTCCTGTATGTATATCCACTTTCTAAGACTTATCAAGGGTTAATTTCATGTTTAAACGTTATTTAGTTATTCACTCCGATGTCATGTGAAAGTAGTCGGACTTAAATTTGTTTTGAACAGTAGGATCGTCCTGACTCAATCTACAATAAACTTTAAAAAAATTGCATACAACACTCTTGCATTCACATATAACTCATTTGTTGATAAACCCTAATTTTAACCAACAAATAAAGCAACACATTATAACGATGAGCATTCAGATTCAGTGAAACATTGTTGAACCTGGGCATCTTCTCAAACGCGAAGAGCTTCGTCATTTTCCGGCGCTTCGCCGCGAGCTCTCGTGGTGGATCCTCGGAGAAGTGCAGAGGGATGAACTGGCTTGAAAATATGGGAGCCAAGGCCCAAAATAGTGTACTCTCTCTTTAGTAAAGGCCCAAAATTGTTCACTATCTTTCGATGTTGGCCCAAAAGTGTCCAACTATATCTTTCAGGTAGAGAATACCAATAGTCCATATATTTTGACAAAGTGATACCCTATCAGTATCGACCCAAACATTTGTTAGAAATTTCATAAATAGCAAAGAGATTAAATTTAATTAGTCTCCTTAGCTACAAATTATCTAATTACGCTTCATAGTTATAGTTTTGCTTGCTATAAATATTTCTGTATAATTCGCTTGCCAATATACAAACATGATAAGTATATACAAATTTTGTATTTATATATTTAGGAATTTTTCAGAACTTATACAAATCAAATGTATTAACACGATAATTATATCCTAGCGAGTGCAAGCATATTGAAATTCTGAATTTATACAATTAGAAAAATTTTGAATTTATACAATTAGGAGCTGAATTATACAAATTCTGGACGTGAGCCATGTATTATGATTGTAAGTTAGTGGTGAATGCTAATTTAATTAAACTGTAGCTATGTTAACTAATTAACTAGTATATGCTTACTTACTCGCATAATTTTCCCTAATTTTTAATAGATAAAACCTTTGATGCCCAATTTTTTTTTCGGTTTTTCACCAAGTGTCTAGAGTTTGCATGGGAGTCCTGACTATATTCGAATTGCGCATTGCAAGACCCATTTGAGGGTGATGCTTCCAAATAATTTTCTCCATATCCCGAGGCTCGAATCAAAACCTCTAGTTAAGGGTTGAGCAGTCTCATCATGCACCACAAGTCACAACCCTATGTTAATTAGGTGTGATGCCCAAACTTAATATATGTCTTTCAAAGTTCACAACCCTATGTTAATTAGGTGTGATGCCCAAACTTAATATATGTCTTTCAAAGTTCACAACCCTATGTTAATTAGGTGTGATGCCCAAACTTAATATATGTCTTTCAAAGTTCACAACCCTATGTTAATTAGGTGTGATGCCCAAACTTAATATATGTCTTTCAAAGTTCACAACCCTATGTTAATTAGGTGTGATGCCCAAACTTAATATATGTCTTTCAAAGTTCATTTTATTACTTTTCACATTAAAATCTCATTCTTTTGATTCTAACACAAAGTAGTAGATAGAACTGTATGACTTTTAAATTACAATTTGAACATAAAGCACGAACATTATGTATATTGGATGAACAAAGAGTCTTTACATTTTGGATATGTTCTTTTCTTGGCCAGGTAAAAAAGGAAGATGCTCCAGAGACATCATTCTTAGCTTCCTACCATAACCACTATTTGCAAATATAAATACCCTATTTATACACAAGAAAACAAATCCAATTTTTTCAAATATGAAATATCCCATGAAAATTACAATAAAATATTTTAAGGAAATAATATATGCTTGTTTGATTCGAGAAAAAAAAAAGACAATTATTTCACAATCGGTTAAATTTAATATATTTGCAAGGCATTCTAATAGTGCTACATCATTTGATCAAAGTCGTCGTAGGAAATCTATATTCTTTCCCGTTTATATCACTTCAAGACGGTCCCAAAAAGAATGGTCTATTTTATATTTAATAACAATTTAATTTTAAAATATTCAGTTTATCTTCGATAAAACAATTTATAGTTACACAAACATGTGTGACTTATTTTAGACAACAAGTTTCAGAAGTGTTTTTTTTTTCTTAAATTTCGTACCAAATGAAATTACATTACATGAATGGGGACGGAGGGAGTATTAATTAAGCTAAAGTCAATCCATTTTAAAAAAATTAATGGCGATTTATTTGCTTGACATGCAAGAGCTTGTGTTAGACTCTACACAAGATGCACCCTTAGTTGTTGGTCCCTCATAAATATTTATTTTCCCCTTTATCAAAACATGAAAGCAGCTTCTTTTCTTTACTTGGTTCTAATTTGATACCTATCGTGACTAGAGTTACGTTGTATTTTCAATAGGATCAAACCTATAGTTTGTTCAAATTGGTGTTCGGTTTGATAGTTTTGATGTTTTTATTTTCTAGATACTCCAACAAAATCAAGATGTCAAAATTGAAATACAAGTTCCTCATTAAATGGTAATAATGACAATTATACAAGTCTCTAATTTCCTTTTGTTTTTCTGGAGTGGGGTTTTCAGTTTGTTCATGTTCTTGTGTACAGCAAGTTAGCAATGTGGCAGACAAAGACTCGAATCGAGATGGTAAAAGAGAATAGAAAGACAAAGAAGAATTATTTGGAGATTGACGTAAAGAACGACCTTCTAAAGAGTGAATTGGATGTCAACACCTCTGACATTGTAAGTTTTACAAATCTTGAAAGTTTAATATTTTTTCAATAAGAAGATGATACTTATACATTATAGTTGTGGGAAATTTAAATACTTTTTTTTTATTTCATGATATGTGTCACGTTGTCATATTGTACTTTTCATGAGAAAGTGATCTTAGGCCGTTCAATGGAAGCATAGACAGAAATCTAGGAATTTTTAGGTGCGTAAAATGATACAAATAACATATGTAGAGGGAGTATGTACGTATGAAGAAGTTACAGGGAGTATGTATAAGTATATAATTATTATATTCGTAAAAGAAAGAGTTGCTTACTCTATAGTTGTTTCAATTATTTCTCGTCTTTTATGCCAGTTTAATTTGTGAATATTCCTTTTAATACATGAGTTCATTTTTCTGCTACCATAATTATAAATATATATATTATATTTTCAGCATATTAGTGCAGTTAATAGAGTCCATGGAAGCAAAAATTATCTCCAATCTTTCTTTGTCACATGTAAAAAATATTGCTTTTTGGCTGATTTATAGTTTTGAAGAGTGTGGCTGCAAATGAAGATGACGCTTTATCAAGATTAGTAGGAGTATAAGAAATTAAGATAGTATGATTAGAGTTTTTTTTCTTAACACTATATTTGATTCATTTTATAAAAATAACTACGAGTCTAAGTCATTCGACAATCTTTATTACAAAATGTATAAATTGTGTATATTTTTAAACACACTTAAGCTATTTTTTTTTTTGAGTTTCATACCTAAACTATTGAGAGTGTGAGTTCATACCTAAACTATCACTTATGAGTTTGAGAAACACACTTCTATCACTTATGAGTTTGAAAAACACACTTAAGTGGTTGTGTAACACACTCTCTCTTTTATTTGAAAAAACCTTGACACATGACATTCCACATGGATAAAATATTCCACCTTGACCAAAAAAATAATAAATTATTAATATTAATTAAAAATTAAAGATTAAAATATAAGTATCCCCAGAAATTAATTTTTTTTTTTAAATTTAAATTATGTTTCTTACCCCACTCCACCACCTCCCCCCGAGCAATCCTTCGTCCTTTTAACTTTTTAAAATTTCTTTTATAAGATATTTTGAAAAAATTCATACTTCACCCTCCCCCACCCCAAGCCACCCACCCATTCAGTCAAAAACATTGATATTATATTATTTTAAAATATAAAAATTCTACCCCATCCTAATTAACCCTTTGCTCCTAATTTATTTATTTATTTTCATTTTTCTCGTTTTGTGTTAGATATGTACATATATTTTCAGGATTTTTTTTTCACTTGTGTACCAAATATAACATAAATAAAATTTATATTTTTTTAAAAAATCTTGTGGCAGCGAGTAAAAAACACTTTCCTAAAAATATATGTATATATCTAACACAAAAAGAGAAAAAAAAATTGAAAATGGAGGGTTAAGTGGAGTGACTAGAATTTATTTTTTTTTAAAAAAATAATATCTAAATTATTATTTGTAAGGGTGGGGGAGAGAGATGAAGTAATATATATATATATATGTGTGTATATATATATATATATATATATATTTATATATGGGGGAGAGAGATGAAGTAATATATATATATGTTTGTGTGTGTATATATATATATGGGTGGGGGTGGGGGTATGGTGAGATGAAGTGATGGAGTGGGGTAAGAAAAATATTTCCATTTTATTTTATAAAAAAATATTATTATTTTGGGATAATAATTTAATCTTTAATTTTAACTAAATACTAGTAATAATTTATTTAATTTTTGTCAAGGTGGAATGTTTTGTCCATGTGGAGTATGATGTGACATTTTTAAAAAAATAAAGAGAGGGTGTAGTGAAGAGAGTTGAAAGTTTATGTATGAAACTCATATTCTCAATAGTTTAAATATGAAACACAATAAAATGGAATAGTTTAGGTATTTTTTTTTACACCTATCTCTATATAATATGTAAATAAATATTAATATATGCATATATTTTGACTATGCTAGCAAATTAATCGGCCAAACAAAACATATATAGTAACATTGGGCAAAAGGTCCAAAACCTCGGTGTAGTACAATAGATGAAACAAATGGACCCCAATTTATGCTATGTGCCTTGTATTTTTCTCTTCTTCATTGTCATTTGTCCCGTTTGTAACGAACTTTTCAGTCTTCTCATTCTCTTCTCTGACCCAATCAATTTGTGTGTTCCTGTTTTTCTCAAGACCAAAATGCATTATCCTATTTTTGCACTAATTATAATTATAAAATATAAATTTGGTGTTAAAGCTTGTTTTTCTACCTTCAACATTTAAACATTTGTTATAGAGAAAATTAGTGGGGACTGGGGATAAGAGCATTGATGGACCAGTTACTAATTTGGCTGATGATTAGTGTATTTGACTAGCTTAGCCCGCCCTGCTTCTAGTTTAACCACAATGATAATAATAGTAACAAGCATTACACATGAATGGACATCCATGTGACATGATGGATGTCAATTCTTTCAATCCTGCCTGTGAATTTCCGTCAAGTGCTATGTTAGGAGAACTAACATTTTAACCAAAAATAAAATAAAATAAAATATTCCTTTGTTTTCCTCTTTTGGTGTAAATTTAACGATTTGATAACCTCCCACGTGTTCAAGTATAACACAAAATAATGAATATGAAAATG